CAAAGAAGGAGGCCGTCTGCCCCAGGGCAAGGCGAAGGCCCTGCTGCTGAAGTACGGGATATCAAGGCAGACGTTGTCCAGGGTGTGGCGCAGAGGCCAAGACTCCAAGGCCAGCACCGGGGTAGCCAACGTAGCGCTGCTCAAGCAAGGCCGCTGTGGCAGACCAAAGAAGTGGTCCCTCGACGACATGGAAGCCGCCGTCAAGAGTGTGCCGGCGCATCTCCGCATGACCCTTGCCATGCTGGCCTCGACCAGCGGAATCTCCTCGACCACACTGTGGCGCCTGCTGAAGACCAAGAAACTGCGTCGACGCACCAGCCGCATCAAGCCGATGTTGACCGACAAGCACAAGACCGACCGCATGACGTTTGCGCGCTCCTTCCTGCACGAGACCACCCGCCAAGGCATGCGCTGGCACGACATGCTCGACCGTGTTCACATCGACGAGAAATGGTTCTACATCACCATGGTCAACCGCCGGTACTACCTCTGGCACGACGAAGCCATACCTGTGCGCAAGTGCTCATCGAAGCGGCACATCATCAAGGTCATGTTCCTTACTGCCGTGGCCCGTCCTCGTTTTGACCACGCAAAGAAAGCCATGTGGGACGGCAAGATCGGCATGTGGCCCTTCGTGACCCAAGCTCCAGCACAGCGAGCCAGCAAGAACCGCGACCGAGGGACCATGATCACGACTCCAACGACCGTCACCAAGTATTGAAATAGTTTTCTATACAAACGGTAGGTTATCTGTATAATTGATATCAATATTCCAATCCAACTCAACAAAATGTGGAATTAATTTTTACACGTAACCAAAACTCTCTTCGTCCTCGTCGCGATCGATGGTTTCGAGCACTGTCAAGATATCGCACACTTCTAAGTCCGCGGCGGTTGGGCCAGCCCATGCGTCACCGTCGCCAAGACCTTCTGACCCAGCAATACGCACCCCGTGGCAAAAAAGTCTTGGCCACGGGCAGAGCTAACTGTCCGCACTTCTTGAGAGCACGCTTCTTCAAGCAGCGTTGGTTTACAGTATATGTTGTGCTGCTGGTTTGGCCTATGTGCTGGCAAGTCAGTGTATTTAACGATACCGCCAAAACATCCTCTTTTCAACTGCGTAGTAGCTCGATGTGCGGACAATTTACTACTCTACTGTATCATATGTACGAGATAACATGGAATTTAATGCTTTGCATACTCTGCATTCTAGTGTTATAGAGTTTCTTAGTTTCGTCCAAACATATCGTCGGTTGATGGACATTGCAAGCTGTGTATCTGCCGGGAATATTTGCAATTTTGCAGGCTCTTTTTCATGGCTTGTCCGATTTGTTCGCGGAAGGAGCAAATCGTGGCGATTCATTCATGCTAGGCAGAATACAAGGACTCGTTCTCACGTCGTAGTGTTCGCGATTTTGAAAGGGTAGAACTTCTCGTGAATGGGAATACGAAGGATATACGGATGTGAAGGCTTGCTGCGGTCCAGACGATGCATGTGCCGTCATCCGTTATCCATGCCAATCCCACTGGCTTTCCCTCTTTAAGGAGTCAAGGTTCGTAAGTCGAGCATACTGGATTTTAAGTCGATTCGATTGGTCAATCCTTCAGAGGTGCTTTAAAGATACTGACAACTTTGAGAAATTGCGCGCGCAATGCAGGTCTCCGTCGACACGCGGCCAGGACAACTCACCAGCATAGAACACCAGGCCGCCGCAAAATACCGAGTCGTAAACCCCCAAAAAGGTCCAAGGCAGAAACTCCACAGCGCATGGGGCGAGGCTACAGCCAACTCGATGGCGCCTTGCATACGTGCTCCATGCAGCAACTACTTTTCATCCTCCATAGACACAACACGATATTTCACCCAATGACGTCAAAATTCAAATTTTGCAATTGCCTCATTTTCTTGAATTTTGGTAAAACCAGCCATTACGATGCATCGACTCTGGGGAGAGTCGGACCATGTCGAGGCTTTCCGCGATGACAGCGCCGCGTGCAGCATTTGTTTTGTTGCCGACCGGACCAGCAGCCACCTGCAGGAAGCATGGCTTCATGTAGGTGCGTTCGCGTACTATAAAGGTCCAACGAATGGAACCGTGTGGAGCTCGATGTCCCCACGGATTGGCATGGACGGGGAGTCGTGAGCTGCTTTGTAGCCTCCAAGGCGACGTCACGGCGCAATGCTCCATTGGATGCGGTCACGCAGATGCGGGGTTGGATTGCTTCGAGGGGGAATTCGCCATGCTGGCTGAGTTTTAATGTGCTCGTCGCACCTGGGGGAACCTGAGCCGGAGGTATACCGACAAGTGGCTGGGGATATTTCGGTCGACACTGGTACATGCCGAGACAGGCCGCTGGAAGTCGCCAAGCCGACGGGTCTGGAATACAGCGGCAAGCACACTGTGGATGCGATCTCTGTCATTGTCCGTGACCATCTGGAACAGAAAACATCCGTTGGACAATAGACTTGTTCGGGTTCTGAAATGACGGCGGTGACACTGCACCTTCGCGACGATGTGCGCTCAGCTGCTCGACGAGCCCACAGCGCCGGGACGACGGGCGCGTCAGTGGAGCGCTGCCAGACGGCCTTGCCATGCCGCCCATGGAACGTGCGACCGATACAACTCCTTGGTAGGACGCCACGTGTATGTGAAGCATGTCGTCCAGGACAGAGCGGTGACGCCACTCCGCTGTCTTTTGGCGGCTCTTGCCATATCCAGTGCGATCAGAGCCACGTGTGGATGCCATGACGTGCAATGTGGTACTGCAGCTCGACGCCGTTCTCGGTTGCGTAGTGGCGTCGGGTCATTTCACATTCGCCGCGCGAGTGTACTCGACGACCCACGCCGTCAAAGCACCAGTCGGGCTTCCTTCCAAATGATTCGCCGCCTCCAGTTCCGCCGCTGCAGCCATCGCCAGGGCAAGAGCGCGGACAGGAACGAGTCCAAGTCGCAAGTCCGGACCAAAGCGGCGACGTTGGCATCGCACAACGACCTCCACGCGATCGGGTTTGAGTTTATGGCAGACAACCAGTACATCCGCCGCGGCTACCGCGTGCATTACTCGGCTGCCGACTGCCTCCGGTCGCTCTTTGCCCTCCACAACGAGACATGGAACGTCTGGATTCACATCGTCGGGTCCCTCTTGTTCGCCGCGATGGCCACGCTCCCCATGGACGACGTTGCCGCCGCCCATCATGGAAGCGAGGCGCTCGCAACGTGGCCGATCCGCGTCTACCTCAGCTGTGTTGCCGTGTGTTTTGCCTTGAGCGCGATCTACCACTTGATGTTCGTGCAGAGTCGCGAGTGGTCGGCCATCTTCCTCCAGTTCGACTTTGCCGGCATCCTCGTCCTCTTGTTTGGCACGTCCGTGCCCAAGCTGTACTACACGTTCTACTGCGACCCGATTTTCCAGCAACTGTACCTTGTGATGGCAGCCATGGTCGGTGGCGGTGGGATCGTCGCTACGTTTACGCCGTCATTTCGGTCGCATCGTCACCACCGCGTCCTGGTGTATGCGAGCTCGATCGCGGCCATGTGCGTCGTGCCGCTCGCCCACCTCCTGACTACGGTGGGTCCGTCCGATCCCCAAGTGAAGATGATGCTCCAGCCGATGGCGATGGGGCTCGTGTTCAATCTCCCTGGCATCTTCTTTTACACGACGCGATTCCCAGAGCGCCTGGCCCCTGGCACGTTTGACATTTGGGGCAGCAGCCACCAGCTCTGGCATCTTTGCGTCCTGTTTGTCGGGTTTGCGTATTTCGGCCAAGTGAATGCCCAATTCGAAAGCCGACTAGCTGCCATGTGCCCATTCGACCAACTGCAGTTCTAATGGACAGCTCCCGCCGTGTGGGGCCCATTCCGCGTGCTACCCTCCCGCCCCCCTCGACCCGATGGCAGGCCGACGATCCCTTAACATCTTTAACTTATTTCCTTCATGTCGTGAACACTTTCGTGCGATGGTCAGCTGGGCACGAGTGGAAGCACGTACTACAGCAGAAAGCGGCGCAGGAGGAGCCCTGTCGGCCTATCTTGTAGAGCGCCGCGACGTCGGCTCCATCTGCACCTTCGAGGAAGGCCTGCCTCATTGTCATAGACGTCGACATGGTCCTGGCTACGGTCGGCCTCTTGGGTTCCGTGCCTACAGGCACAGGGTACGATTGAAAAAGTCCACAATAGGTGGGGACTCGCTTGTTTATTGGAATACAACATTTTTGGAGCTAAATTCCAGTATTTTGGCCAGTGGATGTAGCTTTTGGACACGACGAGGGACATGATGTGATGCAGGTGTCCTGGTTTGGATTGTGACTTGAATCTTCAATGCACGACAACTTTCGGTTGTCCAATTCTTTCGACGAATTACGTCAAATTTCCTTGACGGATCCACTCAACGGATTCATTGTATAACGTTAAAGTAAGTTTTTATGGGAGAAGTTTTGGACAAGGGTGACGGGTGTCACAATTCCAAATGTCACAAAGTGCTTAGTATGCCAGTTGGTCAGGCGACTCTTGCCGCGCTTGCTTGCCTCAACGAACGGAAGACACTACTACACAAGAAGGTAACCTCTATTCGTGCGACATTGGAAGGATCGTCAGCCAGCAGCGAAAACGTCGTGGCGTTGTGGAGCATCTCAATTGCGTCCGAGAAAGCGGCAGAAAAGCGCATAGCGGTGATCAAGCGCGCAGGAATAGATGCCAAATTCGCTGATCAGTCGTTCATTGGACAAGGCAATTCCTGGCGCCCCCAAGCCCCAACAACCATCTCTCACAGGACTTTGAATTTCGTCGTGGATACGTATCTCGTCGTCGTCGTTGAAATATCATTTTGTCCCAATCAAAACAAGTACACCCTTGGCGAACAATTTCAATTTCGATCAAATCTCGTTAAAAAAGACTGCCAATACAAAATCCAAGACAACAAGGTACTTCCGGTGGGTGTAGATTTTGTCGACGTTATCTCGTCCACGTTGTAGCAAACCCAAGGGCGCGCCGCCACCACCGCCGAAGCGGCTTGAGCCGAGCCATGGATGTTGTGTCGTTGGCTGCGCGCAGGTTCCTCCACGCCAGTTCGATCCACGTATCACTGGGGGACATCGCAGCCACCTTCGCCATCGTGTCATGGTCGTTCCCGGTCGCGGCGGCTTGGCACAATGCAGCGATCCCGACAACTGATGCAAAGCTGGCATCGACATGGCCAGCCAGGACGAAACGTGTCACGACATCCAATGTGCCGCGAGTCGCCGCCACACGCATCACGGGTCGCCAGTCCTGGATGCGCGGAGTGAGTAATGCCACGGCTGCGAAATGTCCGTGTTCGCCACCAATTACAATGGCGTCGCTGACGTCGACGGCGAGGTTTGCCGCGAGCAATCGACGCAAGATGTCGATGCGTCCCTGCGCGACCGCTGACGAAAACGCAGCGCCTGAAGCCCCTTCCTGTCGATGCTTGAGCAGGAAATCGACCATCGTCAAGTCGCCGGCCGCCGCTGCACCGTCCACTGCGTCGGTAGACTGGTACGGCAATGTGCGGGGATGCAGCCATGCCACGATGTCCATGAAACCAGAGGCTGCAGCAATGTCCAGGGCCGTTGAATGGCAGCAGCAGGTTCGAACGTGATCGACGAGGAACTGCACGATGGAGAGGTGACCAGCCTTTGCAGCCCAATCAAGCGCTCGATGAGTGCACCCCTCGCGTCGATGTTGGTGCAAGTATCGCACGACAGCGTCAAAGCCATTGCACGCCGCGTGGTCCATGGCCTCCGTCGTCGCAGTTTGATGGTAGACGTGTGTGAAAAATTGCACGCAATCCAAATGTCCTGCTCTGGCGGCACAGTCGACTGCTGCCGGCGAGCACACGTTTTCGTTGCCGCCACAATGATACAAGTACTCCAAGAGATCCCTTCGACCGACGCACGCCAGGTCATGCATGACGCCATCGAACAAGGAAGCATTTTGGCCATGCAGACGCGCAAAAGCGGCCAAGTCGACGTGAGTGAGCCAGTCGCGCAAAACTCGTGACACGGTGGCCGTCCACGTCGCGAGTGATGTATAGTGGCGCCTTGATTGATTGTGGGCGCGAAGGGCCGCGGCAATCGTGAGGAATTCCCTTGTAAACCCCCGTTGGTAGCCAAACACAACGGCGCAGATGCCGCGCGAGTGAAGCGGATGCGCGATGTGGTGCTCTGCCATAACTTTGCAACAGTGACGCGAACGTTACATTGGATGACCACAGGTATTTCCCATGACCTCGAGAGTTCTATCCTTTTGGCGCAACATTACGTTAAAAGATGTTATTGGATAAAACGAATGTATTATCTGAATTTCATCCAATACAAGCGGTCTATTTGACAATTCGCAGTCGAGACGAAGGACGTTATTCTAGGTTCTATGCGTACCTTGGGAAATACTACTTTCCTACTAGTCAACTTTGTCGTGGTGGTTGTGGCCGCGAAACGTTGCCGCGTCTGGTAAAGCCAGAAGCTGCCACGACTTCTGCCTGTACTCGTGCTAAGCTCGTAGGCGAGAGATACAGCTAGAGGCCCCTTCGCTAGGGACGCCCGCCCTGATGCTTTGCCATGGACGCCACAGACTACCTCTGTTTCGAGGTAGATCTTACCGATCTTGATTGTCACATCTCCCACCTCCACGTCGTGCTTGCGTCGCCAGCACTTGCGTGCGGGCGTCCTCTTGGCCGTTGCTGGTCAAACATGCATCGCATTCCGCTTTCAAGCAAAGGATGTCGGCCACCAGTGTGTGGTGGCGTCCTGAGGCAACCCGGCGACCCCCCGATCAGTCTGTTTTTCAAGGAGGCCAGCTTGTCTATCCAGACCGACGGGTGTAGCCGTGCGGGGCAATGAACCATATTCGGTTGGCGCGCCGCCACCTCCGTGGTGCGTGCGAGGTCACGCGTGAAACCGTCGAATACGGTTTCAACTTGCTTCCTCGCCACTCGCGTCATGCGTCGAACAGGAATCGAATTGAAACGATGACGGCGCCGGCGGCAGTGGTGCCGTACCACGCTCTCCACGACAACGGGTTCGCCTTCATGGCCGGAAACGAGTTCATTCGGTCGGGGTACCGCGTCCACTACTCATCCAAGGACTGCGTCCGCTCGCTCTTCCAGTGGCACAACGAGACATGGAACGTGTGGATCCATATCGTCGGATCCGTTGTCTTTCTCGCGCTGTTTGTTACGTCGGTCGGTGGCGACCCGGGAACAACGACACCGCATTTGAATGCAACATCCGCCGCCAACCTCGTTGGCGTGGTGGACGTGCCGCAGTGGCCCATGATTTTGTTCCTCTCGAGTATCGTCTCGTGCTTTGCCCTGAGTACGACCTACTATCTCCTGTACGTCCAAAACGACTCAGTCGCGTCGGTATACCTTCAAATGGACTTTGCCGGCATCATCGCGTTCATCGTGGGCTGCTACGTCCCGAGCATTTACTACGCATTCTACTGCGACCCGACTTGCCAAGCGGCGTACTTGGGCGTAGTCGGCGTGTTGGCGGTGGGACTGTTTGTCGCACTCGGCGTTCCTTCTATCGGCCGCAACAAGGTGATGCGCGTCAAGGCGTTCCTCGGTCTCATTTTCTTTGCGGTCGTGCCCATCGGACACGCCATCTTCGCGTTCGGGTTCTGGGACGATCATGTTCAATTGATGATCAAACCCGCCGTCACGTGCTCCGTTTTCAGCTTCTTGGGCCTCTTCCTCTACGTGACGCGGCTCCCCGAACGATGGTACCCCGGCAAGTTTGACGTGGTCGGCAGCAGCCATCAATGGTGGCATCTCTGCGTCGTCCTCGCCGCCCTCGCCTACTACACGAGCCTCCTCGATCATTACACGTGGCGGTCCAAAGTCGGTTGCCGCACTTGATGCCGTTTCTTGGTCACCTTTGTCGTTTGGGCCATCAAGGAAACCGTAGGCATAACCCTCGAAAAAACGTGCCATCTATGTGTGTACGCATGGGCACGCCTCATTCCGAGGCACACCACACGGCACCCGCTCCCTTTCAACGGTGAAGGAAGGCCCAGGACAATAGTGTCGTTCGACGGATTCGATGGATCCATGGGCTCCACTCACCTCCTTCGTGGCAGGTCCCCCCTGTCGCGGGGACCATCCATCGCAACGTTTGCGCTCGCCATGGTGAAGAACACATGGACAGGATTCGTTGGACGAGACATGGCATCGACAGGTTTCCCATCGCGACTGCATCCACGTTGCGCAGCACAGCGCCACCCACCCTTCGCCTACATCGCTGCCCATCCCCCGCCTGCATCTTCGACCACGAACCATTGGCATGACGTGGCGAGCCTCGTGCGCAGTACGCTGGATTGGCCAGTCCGGACCAATCACAGCCTTGGCATTCCACTTGAGCGGATCACGATGGTTGCTCGCGCGCACAAGGAATTGGCGGCGGTGGACGCGTTGAAAGGCCACGGGTTTGAGTTCCTCGCATTCAACCAGTACATTCGGACGGGGTACCGCGTGCACCACACGTGGCACGACTGCGTGCTGTCGTTGTTTCAGCTGCACAACGAAACGTGGAATGTCTGGTCGCATCTGGTCGGTGCCGTGGTGTTTCTCGTGCTGACGCTCCACCACGCTACGCTGCAACTTCACGACATGGACGTATTCGCGGCGTACATGCCGTCGTCGCTGGGACGGCACGCGCTGCCTCTGCATCTCCGCCTTGGACCGCACACGCCGTTGTCGTCCAGCATGTCGTCGTCGATTGAGCAGGTCCCGCCTGCGTCGTTCATCCAGACCCATGCCCAACACGTGTCGACGTGGCCGATCATTGCCTACACTACCGGCGTGTGCATTTGCTTTACATGTAGCGCCGTCTACCATCTCCTGTACATCCAGTCGCGAGCATGGTGCGACTGGTTCACCCAGGTGGATTATGCCGGGATCATCGTGCTCATCGCGGGTGCGTTTGTTCCGCTGGTATCGTATTCGTTTTACTGCAAACCCGACGTCGTCGTTGCGTACTTGAGTGTCGTGGGCATGCTTGCCACCGCGTCGCTCGTCGCGTCGTTCGCGCCGTCCTTCCAAGCGCACCCCCACATCCGGACGGCAGTCTTCCTCGCCCTGGCAGGTTTTGGCAGTGTCCCCGTCATGCACGTCATCCAACAAGACGGCCTTTTACACGACCACACCCAATTGACGCTCCACGGCATCGCCACCACGTCCGCCGTCAATCTTGTCGGCGTTTCTCTGTACATGCAGCGACTCCCAGAGCGGGCGTTCCCCGGCCGGTTTGACATGGTCGGGAGCAGCCACCAGTGGTGGCATCTCTGCGTCTTCATGGCTGCCTTGATGTACTATGCGTATGCAATGCGGCACTACGAGTGGCGCTGCATGACGCCATGCTCATAGGCCAAGAGCTAGCTCACTTAACTTGCCTGGAATCGACGTCGTGGACTCGCTGAGGCGGGACCGCATGTGTGCGGGATGTCAAGTGCTTGTTGGTGATGCTGAACCGAGTTGGGTGGATGTCACTCAACCGAGTGGCATCTTGGACAGTTCCTTGTGTATTTGGAAGAGTCCGCTCTCCACATGTTCGTAAAGCGGGGTAAGACTCGCACTCCAGGCCCTCTTGCAGTAAGCGTGATAACCCCGACGAATTTGCTGCATGGCTAAAGCAACGTCGGGCATATGGCCTTGCCATCGACAAATTGTTCCTGCTCCCATCCACGTCGCCGCCTCCACCGCTCCCTCCAGCACGAGCGAGACCATTTTCCCAACCACATGGAGAAACGCGAAGGCGACTGGAAGGGATTGCCGTCGCGGACCGCCATGGAATCCCAGGACAAGAGTAGAGCTCAATTCATGCACTGGTTCCGCTATACCGTTTAGCAGCACCCGTCCGACGATGCCGACCGCGTCGCTTGTTCGTCGAGCTTGACGCGGCTCTGGCTGGCGACGTCTAACCGATCGCTGTCGGACTCTGCCAGGCGCTTCTGGACGTCGACGGCAATGCTGCGGAATGCTTCGTCGACCTGGAGATTGCTCTTGGCCGATGTTTCAAAGAACTGCACCCCGTACTCCGCCGCCAATGCCTCTCCTTGTTCCTTTGAAACGGCTCGATCGGAAGGATCGACGTCGCACTTGTTGGCCACGAGGATCTTGTTCACGTTCGGCGACGCATGTTGTTGGATTTGCCGCATCCAGTTGCGGACATCTACATCCAGACGACGAAAGTGGGCCATACATGGAGACGAGTAGTCGTACTCTGGAAAGAATGGTCGTCCGTGACGTCGTACACCAAGAGAATTCCCATCGCTCCGCGGTAGTACGCTGCATTCCAACGTTGAGGATCATCGCGCACAACAGCATTGGCGTGAATGCGTACCTGTCGTGATGGTTCGAAAGCGCTCTTGGCCGGCAGTGTCCCAGATCTGGAGCTTTACACGCTTCCCGTCCACATCGATGGTTTTGACTTTAAAGTCGATGCCAATGGTCGTGATGAATGACGTTGTGAACGAGTCGTCCGAATACCGCATGAGGAGACATGACTTCCCCACACCTGTACAACGTCATAAGCTCTCTCCCTTGCATCCTGCCATAGACCCACGCACCGCTGTCTCCGATGAGGAGAAGTTTCACCAAGAGGTCGTACTTGCTGCTGTGAACCGCCATCACCTCTTGGCTTTTGTTGCTTCTGTATGTCGTCGATGGAAATGCCACGTTCGGTATGCACCATAAAAATGCCATGTGTCTTGATATTTGTATTCAACATTAAATGTTGTATTTAAAAACCGTCCAAGAGGCAGCAAACGAAACCCTCGTCTTCTTTCGAGAACCTGGGACTATTCGTATCAAAAATATTCGGGAAATGGCCAGATATTTCAAATATATTTGTCATGAACCACACATTTTGGGCGTCAACGAAACCCAAAACGCAACTGGATCTGCCATGCAGCTCGAGCTCGTCGATTCGACCGGAGCAAGTCACAATGGCATCGCGGAACGCTGGGCGGCCAGAACGACGAAATTCCAGAGATGGAGTAACAGAAGACGGCAGAACAAGGCATTTAGAGTGTGTGCTGGACGAATTTCACCACGATGGAGTTAATTACGCGAGTACACCAGCTTCCTTCAACATTTGGACCAATTTGCCGTCACGATGAAGCTTGGCTACGTCTGTGCCACCTCCGATGGTAGTTGTCTTGATGAAAACGTTGGGCACGGTATCTCGACCTACGTATGGTGGCAATGCGTGTTCACTTCGAGGTAGCATCAGGAATTTAATCGTACCAGTCAGTTCTTCAAGCACGCTTTGAATAGCATCGCCATCGGGACGTTTGTTCAGCTCAATCACTTCAAACTGCGCCCCAACCGACGTCAACGTTTTCTTGGCCTGTTCGTGTCGTAAGCCATCTTCCAGGTATCATCCAGACAGCATACCATGTCACAGTACGGGCAATACGTCTTGCTGAAGATTGTAACACCGTTGGTGTTAATCGCTTGCTGAACAAATGCCGCAGCTTCAGGGGTCGCGCCCGATGAGTTGTTGCTGCCCATGCTGGTTTTGGAGTTTGACTGCTAAAACATCCGAACAAGTTATCCGGATGTTCGTATCCGGCTGTTGTGGAATTCGACTGATGTTCACTTGCATTCTGTCTAGGGTCTAAGCGCATAAGCGCATGCACAATTGGGTAGTAATTCATCGACTCGAACGATGGAAGAAGCACATACATACACGTCCTAATCGCCCAACGTTGGCATAAGGGACCTTTTCCATGTCGTTTTTTTTGCATGAAAGTCAAGTTAGAGGCCTTGCTTGTCATAAAGTTGAGAGTGCGCGTAATAGAAGTACTCCCTCCGTCCCAAAATAATGGCGCGACTTGTAGGAGGGGGTACATGACACGTCATTATATTCAGAGTAAAATTCAAAACGACATTACTCCCTCCGAAACCCCGAAACCCCGAAACCCCTCCCAACTTCGAATAACGTTAATGCAGTTCTGATTGGACGACACGATCAACCGCGCCAAACGCTTTCGTTTCATCTACCTACCATTGGACAGTCGTGGAATATCGTGTCAAAAATTAAGTTTCAAAATATCAATACAAAATATACAATAATACATGCATTCATTACATACATTCACTCATTATGGGGACGGGAAGGCGGGACCTGACGAACGAAGAGCGCGAAGCAATCCTTCGTGAGACTTTGCTAAAGAGCAATGGAGTCAACTCCGCAAGACTTCCAAATGGATTTAGTAAGTATCTTGCTGACAAATACAATTGCCACCCTGCAACGATTCGCAAAGTGCTCGCTCGTGCAAAGAGCCAGGGTGTTGTCGAAGGCAACATGAACGTGTCAGTTTCAAGCAAAAGCAAAGGCAAGGTTGGCCGAAAGTATGCATTTACAGCAGCTGAGGTTAAAGCTAAGCTTTTGCAAGCCCCTCTGGCTAATCGTACGACACTGCGCTCCATATCTGCTCACACTGGTATGAATACATTGACATAACCTCGTATAAACGACATTGTTAAATAAATTCCACATAACAGGCATAAGCCGGGGATCCCTACATCGCTACCTCAAGCTGGGTATGTTCCGGTCTCACTCAAATGCCATAAAACCTGTGCTGACCTCAGCTAACAAGTACAGCCGTTTAAAGTTCGCGATGACCTTTGTGCGCCAAGATATGGAGCTTGATGAGCTTCTGAACTACGTGCATATTGATGAGAAATGGTTTTATCTCACCAAGACGAGTCGTACGTACTATCTTGTGCCCGTCGAGAGTGAACCCGAACGAAAGTGCATGAGCATACGCTTTTGACCAAAGTCATGTTCCTCACAGCCGTGTGCGCGGCCGCGGTTCAACGATGACGACGGGACATGGTGGACAGGCAAAATTGACACGTGGCCGTTTGTCGAAACAGTGCTGGCACAGCGCACAAGCTCAAACCGCCATGCAGGAACGCCAGAAACTAAACCCTTGGTCGTGACCAAAGATGTGTACCGGTCCTTCTTGACCAACAAAGTGTTACCTGCTGTGGTCAAGGTGTGGCCACAGTCAAACGTTCCCATCATCATTCAACACGACAACGCTCGCGCCCACGTTACGACGTCCGACATTCAACTGCGAACGGAGTTCGACCGCTACAGCACCCTGGGCTGGACGTTCCAGCTTGCCCCACGGCCTCCCAACTCCTCGGATACCCACGTCCTTGACCATGGTTTCTTTGCGGCCCTGCAGTCCCTACAGCATTGAAAGTCTGCGCGTTCAACGTTCAATTGATGAGCTGGTGATTCACGTACTGGAAACGTTCGACGAATAACCATACGATCGTCTTGACAGGAAGTTCTTGACCTTGCAGTGTTGCTTGATCGAGACCTTCAAAGTTGGTGGCGACAACTACTCATACAAGGTTCCAAACATGTCAAAAGACAAATTGGCCAGACAAGGGAGCTTACCTCGGTACGTCGAGTGCCTACGTGATGTGTATAATTCGACCCGCGCGTTGCTGAGTGCTGTTGATGTTGTCGCTATGGACCGAGAATGTGAATTGGCATCTCAACTTGAATGTAACGCCCTCATTAGTGAAGATGA